GTTCGAGCAGTGCAGTCCGTGGCATCCTCATTACTCATTGGCTTGATTTTCTTGCAATTGGAGCGCAACATGTCCAGCCTTCAGCCACGGCTCTTCTCCAGCTTTCTGCTGGTCTTTGCCCAGTTCCTCTTTGCACTCCTGGGCGTGGTGAACGCCTTCCCGGCCGAGCGTGCGGTCTTCCTGCGAGAGACACAGGATAAACTCTACCATCCAGCGATGTTCTACTTAGCCAAGGTTTCCATTGACACCATCATGCAGAGCCTCTTCCCGATCCTGGTGGTTGCCATCAGCTATCCGCTCATCGCTTTGAATGGCGAAAGCGCGGAGCGCATCCTGTGGTTCTATGCCATCATGGCGGTGGTCTCCAACTGTGGTGCCGGCCTGGGTTTTATGGTCTCAGCGGCCGTGCCCAGCGTCACATTGGCTTTGTCCATCGCGCCGGGCTTGGTCATGCCACAGCTGCTGCTGGCGGGGATTTTTATCAAGGTGGGAACTGGTTTGGGTGTCCGTTCTGACCTGTAACAGTCAGTGAGCAAGCAACTCACTATTTTAGAGAAGGGCCTGCAACTGAACCATCAATAGGATAATATACCGGATATACCCAAGGAACGGCTTAAGCAGAGGATGAGCGTTTGGCTCCAGAAAGTGCACATGGGGTTTCCAGCTTTACTGTTTTGGTATCGTTATCGTTGTTTCTATCATTTTAGGCTTGGTTTGAAACTTCCATAGGAATGGTCGCAGCAGAAGCACAACCAACAGCAGGACATCCTCTAATTCAAGCTTTCGCACACGAACACCCCTCTACATAATAAGTATACATCCCGCCATTTCTTTGCAACTTGTTGGGGTTCTATAATATGGAGAGGGGTGTTGTCATCACCAACCAGCCTGACTTATACGACAGCATGTGTAGTCAGAGGCGTGCGTTACCAAAGACATCCAAAGACCAAGAGCATGCGGTATGCATGCACAATGACTGTAAGATCAATCGCAGCACAGTGAAGGAGGCTTCCAAGAGCAGTTTGAAGGCGCTGTGTTTCGTGTCAACGCTTCGAAGTTCGTGGTTTTCTCTGGGGCTTAAGCTCGTGCTGTCGCTGGTGGGCTGTGCATTCAGGAGACCTCCTTCGACCTATCGCGGGGAGCAGAAATAGACCAAAGTCAATTGGTTGGGGGTAAGCCTATTCAAGACCACACGGGCATATATTAAAAGATCTGAATTAACATCTCAATATTCCAAGACCACACGGTGGTTCTATCCCCACCGCTGTACCGCACGCCGAAAGAGGGTTGCAGGCTCACTCTTGTTAGATTCCTGCCAGCAAGCACGAAGCTGGCCAGATCTCCGTGCTTCACGCTGCCCAATCATCCGTTTTAACACGTATTTCTTGCGGATGATGGCGAGATCCCGCCCAGGTGGACGATTTGCCCCAGCCCTTCAAGGCGATCAGCTACTTGATGGTGGCGCGCTATGCGGTGCAGGCGACCGTGGTGAATGAGTTCAGCTGCAGCGTCAAGGAGGAATGCACGCCGGAGGCGCTGTGGGCTGAGTTTGGCACCAGGTCTGTGGTGAATTTCCAAGGTCCCTAGTGATACCCTTGCTGGCCACTAACTTAGCAATGACTTGGTTCATTATATGCCTGCGACTGACGCAGCGTTCTGGTCCCTCGGTTCACCCTTCTGGTGACGAAGCGTGGCCTCCGTTCCATCCTCCTCTGGACGGTCGGACCTCAGTCGGAACGGACGGCCCGGAAGGGATCGGAACGGGGAGTGGCTGCTCCCCGGTCTGGATCGGGAGTCGGGTGGGGAGTCGAGGGAGGTCGATTCTTTGACGCCTGTGGGAGGTTTGGCGTTTGGCCGATGCCTCTCAATGTGGCTCCTCGCCTTGTGACTTCTGCTGCACGGCCCACGAGAGGAGGGCGGCGGGCGGCATTTGTCCCGTGCTCTCCTGCGACTTGGTGTCGAGGGTCGGGAAGATGTTCTGCCTTTCGATCACTCCATGCTGACCGGGGTAGACCCATATTCCAGCATATTCCCTGTCCAAACAGGTACAAAGAGTTGCCCAACCCCCTTCCTACCTGATGACTGGCAACTCAATCTTTCCTCCCAGTGATTCTCCCCCTTCCGGCTCCGACCCTCTCCAGCCGTGCTGCTTGACAGTCCCTTTCGACCGTGGAGCTCTTGGCTGATAGCGGATCTTAGGCGATGATGCTTTGGTAAGCTTGGGAATGGATGAGATTTGGCCCAAAGGTGCCTCTCCAGAGGAGACCATCTGGCATAACTTCGCGGGGCTCCTTTGCCTCCTACTGTTCTTCCGGTTGCAAGGCTGGTCATGGGAGAAGAGAAGAGGCCTCCGACTGGTCCTACTGGAACTCAGAAGCACCTCTTCTCTGGTCTACTAGGTCACCCTGTTTTTGGGTGGGGGAACCTTGCGCGACGCCGGAACCATCCGGAAAATGGGTTGCACCCCAAAAAGACGCGCAACCCAGCCTGCTGGAGCGGAATCGGCCGAAAGGTCTCACTCTAGGATCCCTTTTGGTTGAACAGTGCCACTAGTCACTAGAGTGTGATTGTCAACCACCGTCTTTGGTTCGAACGAAGGATGCTGCGTCGATCCACGATCATTGCCCAGTTCCAGCGACCTCGCTTCCGGCACTGCCAGGATTGAACGTTCTCATGCTGAGCTACCGCCGCGCGACCACGGGGTCAGTCCTGCCGTGTCGCTGCCCGAAGCGGGCCAAGGGCAAAGATACTGAATGAGCTCGTTGTGTTGGCGCACCAGACGTGGGCACCCACCACGCCTGGGACGTTCAGTCCCAAAGTCTTCTTGTGCGCTCCAAGACTAAGTGTGTTTGGCAGTTTGCTCCATGACGCTAGGATTGTTGCTTGTGAGACAAGCTCAGCTTCTTTGCCGTTCGCTCGCGACCAAGAGTCGCGAGTCGCAGGGTTTATACGCTTTAGTTTCCAAACATCAAATCTTGGCTGCATGCATAGTCCTGGAATTGGATGGGCTGTGCATCCGCAGCCTTGCTGGCTGCAAAGTCGGCACATGGTGGTACTAATGGGTGCCGCCTAAAGCGGTATGATGCTGAAGGGGTAGTCGTTTACATGGATTTGCTGAAAGCTTGGCTTTTTCATAGGGTGGTGAGGTTAAGGCATGCATGGTCTGTAATGAAGGGGGTCACAGGACGAGCATGCACACGCGGGGGTGGCCGCACTTCCTCGGAATAAGAGCACCAGCAAATACTGTACGAGTGATTTTAAGCATTTCCAACAGCAGGTCCACCTGACTGAAAGGCTTAGAATCAATACAAACCAGCCAAATGGCCTTCGAGTGACCCATAGCTGATTTCCTTTGCGAAGCAAAGGAACATGATTCGGGTTTTCCTCCCTTGAGGCCAGTGGCAGGTGAGACCAGCGAGACCAGCAAAAAGCAGAGCCCGTCCTGGGCGGAGACCAGCATTAGATCTATAATATATATATATATATATATATAAATGAATGACCTGAAGCAACTTCCACAAAGACAGACCCGAAGACCACACCTGGAACTACAGATAGCTGTAGAACGGCTAGAACGGCTAGGACACCTGCAGATCTGTTGCGGAAGGTCTGTCCATGTCCCATCTGGCACGGCCGAAACCGCTCGTGCGCCACCACGAGGTCCCCCACCAGGAGGTCCCCTCGCCACTGGAGACCGGCCCGGGAGATCCGAAGCTTCGGACCATCGAGTCTATCCATTGGGGACCGGGATCTCCCTATTCAAATGCACCCTGACCCTCTGACCCTCCCCTTTCTTGGGTTCAATCGACGGATGGTCCAGTCCACGAGTTCCACTCGATCTCATGAACGGAGGGTCCACCAGGGCTGAGCTGAAACGGCGTGAGGGATGGGATCTTCCGCAGCAGCCGCACCACGGTGCCGGTGCCGTGCTCGGTCCGGACGCACCCGAGGCCGTGCTACTCCACTTCTGCGTCTGCGACTTTGCCTCGTTCTGGCGGAAGCGCTGGACACAGCTCCTCGGTGAGACTTTTGGAATCGTGCCACACGGGGGTGGTTGGAGGAAGATGGCTTTACAATCTGGAGCCCAAAAGGCCACAGTAGGCCACTAGGCTTCGTGGCGGAAATGCCATTTGCCTTCAAAAGTTGCTCAAGACTTGGGATGTTGAGCCGACATGGATCAGTGTGCGTGAAGGGCATTGACCATGGCCCTCGGCAGAACAGAGTCTGTCACGCGCTCGGCAGACTGAACCGATCTCCACATGTCCTTTGTCATCTCCTCTTCCCGCACCTCGCCGGTGATTTTGCTCAGAAGAGCACTGGGAGACTTGGAGAATAGAGATGACCGTTGACCCAGAACCGTTGCACTCTTTGTCTTTGAAGTTGCTGGAGAGAGGAAGAAAGGAAGGTACTGATCAAACAACCCGTCCTTCAGATCAAACACCCCCAAAAAAGGACCACCGAGGGCGTCGCCTCCGCCTCCGAACGTCCGTCGCCTCCGCCTCCGAACGTCCGTCGTCCTCCGTCGACGGTCGCCGTCCGTGCGGGATCCCGAGCGCCGGATGCGGCACGGTTTCGACCGAGGCTGGGCTACTTGTCCGCGAGCGATCAGTTCCGCGTGCGGACCAGCTCGGGAGCCGCTGGACCTGCACCGGTAAAGCGCCCGTTTCTGGAGCTGCTTTTGGTACGCGTGGCCAAAGGTTGGGCAAGCAACCAATCAAGGAAATAAGGACCAGGAGGTACAAGAAGGGTCATTGGCAACAGAAAGGTGTGGTCGGGGTGTGGCTCCTTTTGGTGTGAAAGCACCCAAGAGAATTGCTTTCATGTTCCAAAGAGCTGTTTGGATTTTAGACCCCTTGGCCTATAAGGCTAACATTAAAAGGACGACCTTAGAACTTAGAACCCAACACCCATGCGAGACCCTTCCCACAGGTTCTCTCGGGATTCGAACCTCTGCCTTCAGAAAAAGGCTCGGCTTGAAGATTCCGACGGTTTCGAAGGCCATGATGGCCCGCTTCTACCGTCTCCAGTGTCAAGGCCGCCAAAGTGAGGCGGATGCACCGAACGAAGCTCGCGAGGCGGTTTTGGTGTTTTTTTGGTCCTTTTTTCACCTACAGTAACCTTTCTCATGAACACAGTTCTTAACCAGAATCCAGGTAGGTCGAGAACGTGCTTATGTCCATGAACGGCTCTTCGATCTTTACCATCCACTTCCGCCCACCAACAGCCCCATGAATGTATCCGATTCGCTGGTTGCAGATGGGAATCTGAAGAAGTTTCATGAAAATTACGCACACCTCAACGCACCTCAACCCTCAACTTCCCCCTCCAAAAGGTCTAAACCCAACGGATTCTGTGAAAGACACACGTCGCTTGTCAGGCGCGTGAGCTGTTTGCCACAATGTTCCTCCAGAGCTCAGAGGCCAGAGTTCCTGGCAGTGGTCACTCCAACTGCAACTCCGAGTGTTTGGACATGATGAAGCTCCCTAAAGAAGAGCAATAGAGGACCGATGCATATCAACCTCACGTCGTTGTCCCGTTGTGACATCGTGGTCATAATCACGCTGGGGTGCTTTAGAATGCTTTAGATGTAGGATGTGTTCACATGGCGACGGAGAACAGGATGGACATGGACGCGGGAATCGGATGGAGCTGCCATGGGGAATGTTGATGATAAGGACGATTTTGATATCTTCAGTTCGGTCACTATGATTGGTATACTGTATATCTATATCAATGTCATTTCATGTTGTCTATGCGATGTTTTCTCCAGTGAAGTTCTGAACATTGTTGATGTCCAGCGAACACTCCATCCTTCTCCTGCCAAATAATCCTACCAGGCCACACGCAGGAATACTTTGTTGGTTTGGGTTTGCATTCGGGGCTTGCCAAGAGTATGATGGGCAAAGTCTATATGATTCTATAGCTGGCCATGTGGCATTTCGAGACGATGGGGATGTTCTTAGAATGCAGGCCTCCAGTGCCCCAAGGGCTTTGGCAGAAGCCCGCACATGTGGAATAAGCTGGATATTGCTTCGCGCGCCAGCAGCAACCACGCAAACATACAGGTTTGTATCAGAAGATGGCCAACTCCTATTATACCCTCTTGCACGACTTGACGCCACGCGCGCCGGACGCGCCTCACCTTCTGTGCTGGCCGCGCCTCTTATTTCTTTTGGCCCTTCTGTGTGCTTCCCAGTTGCGGAATTCGAGCGGAGGATGCGGAACATGCAAGGGATGCGGGTGGCAGATGCCAAAAGACCAGAGCCAAAAGAGGAAGCGCCAAAAGACTAGAGCCTTAGCAGGTCTTTTTGACGCGCATGGACAGACTGTGAAGCATGTTTAGTGGACAACAAATCATCCGCATGAAAAGCTCCCTTTGGAACCACTTCATCGTTTAGAAGACCCACCCGCAGATCTCCCATCCGCAGATCTCCAAATCGGCCCGCGCGCGGACACCCGGACCATGGAGTGTCAAGAAGCTTCGGTACCGTTGCGGCAGCTCAAGGCGGTCTTGGTGGAAGTTTTAGAGGCCACGGGATCCGGGGGCACCAGCAATGCGTTGGAAAGGGGTCGGCTGGATGACACGACCGGAGTCTGGTCGAACGCCAGCGGCCTCGGGGCCATGGCCAGTTCTAACCCCCAATAACACATCACTCTCACTCTCTCTCTATATATACATATATATGGTTTTCACCTGCTGAGGAGCTACTTTCACCGAGGGGCTTCCTAGATTGTAACAAGAGGCAACCAAGAACTCGACGCAATCCACATTTTTCGGCATCCAGGTCACCCCAGAGATTCCAGTAGAATGGCCGTATCCTTGGTATGCGCAGCAAACCCGTACGTATCGTTTTTTTGCTTGCTCGCTTGCTCGCTTGCTCGCTTGCTCGCTTGGCTGCTTGTTGTTGTTGTTGTTCTGGCACTTGGGTAAAATGATGTGAGGTGATCAGGGTTTCCTAGAGATTCAGAAAACCTTCGTTGGTCCTCTGCAAGCCAGAAGCCGCACGTGAACTGAAAGTCCGGAACTAAACTAAAACAAAGTCCACAACCTTTTTTCGTGTTTTCAAAATCCATTTTCCACTTAATTTTGCTGGGCCTTTGGCTTGGGCCTCCTCCGAGTTCTCGCGATTGCAGGAGAAGCTGCGCGAGCTGGAGCTGCGGCTGGACAGCCACCGCCGAGCGCGCTCGCCTCGGCCGCGCCACGACCGCCACGACCGCCACGACCGCCACGACGCGCGGCGGCTGGAAGGACCGGATCGGGGGGAAGGACCACATCGCAAGACCGCTACTAGTATTGCTACTGGTAGCCTAGCAGCCTCCTAGCTATGAGTGGTAATTCCCTTGAGCCCTAGTAGGCCCTAGTAGCTTCTAGCTACTACGTTTCGCAGGCCGGAGCAACAGTGGAGCAAGGGCTGTCGGATGCTGTCGGTCTGTGGATGTACCGTACACTTGGCCCGTCAGGAGCATCGATGCCATACCAATCAGAGTGTCTTGGTTGCTTTCAAAGATGGCTTTTACATGTATATGCATCCAGATGGTCCCACAAAAGCTGAAATGGCCAAGGGAAATCAACTTTGCTTCCAACATGGACCTGCCAGATTTGAGGTCTAGGAGTCCTCCTTCCCTTCCGCCTGTCCAAGAGGATGGGGATAAGAAGTACGTCCGAGTCCGAAGATGAAGAAGCCGACCTGACCAGATGCCCCAAAGGGCAGAAAGATACCCCGTTTTTCTTGCACCTTTTGCTCGCTCGAAGCTTTTCGTGGGAGATGCCGGGTGTTTTTCCCGAGAATCGAAGAGCGGCAAGGAGTCGGAGCATGGAGAGAACACCGGACATGAAGATTGGGGACCAAAGGGTTCTAGGGTTCTAGCCGCCGCTAGCCTAGCCATGAAACAGCATCTAGCAAAATGACACCCATCAGATTTCCCAACATTTCCGCCGTCCGCCAGCATGGGACCGTGCGTTCCGCACTGGTCGTCCAGACGACGGCGAGTCGGTTCAAAGCGACTGAGGTCAATGGTAAGGCGAGGGGGGGTCGGACCTGCATTTGGATCCTTGGATTGGGAGATTTCTTTGTCCCGCACTTGTTCAAGAGAATCCCCTTGGAATCCATGCACCGGAGGCATTGGCATCCTCCTGATTGGAATAAGATTCCAATTTAGGGGGTTGGGTGGCAGAAGGAAGAACTGCGGAGTGATTGCAAAACAACCGGTGGTGGCGAGCGACACGAATCCGATAAGACGATTCGCACGGTGGTGGCCCCCTAGTAGCGTCCTTGCTCCTACAGTAGCGATGCCAGGAGCCCCTAGTAGCTTCTTGTTCCTAGATTTCCTAGTAGCAATGCCCTTTGTTCCTAGTAGGGAACCTTGTTCCTAGTCCTGGCCAATTCGTTTGCTCTTGCATGTTTGCATGTGGAGCCCTCCATGTGTAACACACAAAACTTGTGTTTGACCACGCTGATGAGCGCTATGATCTTCAATGCCCTTGCATGGAGACACGTTTGTGTCAATCTAAATGATTGCAAGGTTCTTTGTTGGACATGTGGCTGTTGGTTGGGCCCTGGAAACTTCACTTCCTCCAACAACTTTAGGTTTGACTCGCCCGCATGGAAACCGTTAAAGAGATGCCATAGATGTTGCAAAATTGCCGGTTTTGACTTCGGACATTGCAAACGCTACAGATCCCTGAAACCACAGAAAGCTACAGATTTGTTGCTGCGAACATTGCGTGAAGATTTGCAAAAGATTAATGTCAAATCACCCACATTAAAACGTCAAAAAACGCAAGATTTATGTCAAATCTGTCGTTTTTTTGGGGGGATGATTTGCCCAGATGGAAACCAACAAAACAACACCTACGTATACCTACGTAGAGTTGTGTTCATTTAGCCAAGTGTTTGCTAGCAGACAGGTTGTCAAAACACTGTTCTGGCCTCTTGAAAAATACAATTTGGTGGGAGTAGAAAACCCCTCAAGGTCCTGCACTTCTCCAACTCCACCACACCTCCCTGAGAGCGTCTTCCCACCTCGAAGCGGCTCCCTTTTCTTCTTGTCATGATCAGACTGCCATGTTCGTGCACCCCCACGGCGCTGAGAACAGCTCCGCACTCCCACCCACCGGCCGGGCACAGACAGAGACAGAGAACGGCCGGGCACATCTGCTCCACACGCATCAACCGAGGACATGGAACGCAGCTTGGAGACGGGTGCCTTCCCGAGTCTGCTCCAGCGACCGGAGGACCGGAACTCGCCCACGGTCTCCAAGGAGCGGGGTGTCTCCCTGTCACGGAGACGGGTTGGGATTGGATGGAAGAGACTGGGGCGGTTTTTGGTGGGAAATGATGGGATTGGAGGCATTGGTATGTTGGAGCTGTTGGATGGCAAAGGTGGCCTAGGCCAGGTGGCCGGGCGGAAGAGAGGTTAGAAGGCAGCCAGGGGTGTTTTCACCGCGCCGGGTTGGCAGACCGTGTCTCCGGTTTTCGGCCTCCAGTCCCGGAAGACGTGCATCGGCCTTGATCCACGGAGCGCCAGATGAGACATTTGGGTCAGAAATGGATGAACGATGTTTTCTTCTGATGTTTCTGGTTGCCTCAGGACACCACGCACACCTCATCGCATATCACAGAGATGACAGAGGAGGACGGGAAAGGGTGACTGACTTTGACACAGACAGCCGCCTGATAGAATGTGGGACCGTCTCAACAGCACTCAGGTAATAATGATGGACCAGGGTTGCTTGGATGGTTGCCATTGGACACCTACATCGGTCCTCCCGGTGTGCCGCTATAACAAGTGGATAATGCATTGGAGATCGCTGCCTTTGTGGGGCAAGGAGCGACTGGTAGGACCTTAGACACCTCCTTGACTCCTTGAGTCCTTGAGGTCTCCTCGCCCGCTTTCAAGCAGGACTCCACCATGACGACCTACCACATCCAGCATGTGGGCAGCGGACAAAGCACGTTCCGCGGCCCTGATCCGTCACGCCGGTGCTGGGGTGAGCGAATAATCTTGTCAGGAGATGTTGGGATTGATATTGACCTGACATGCTCAGATGACATAGACCTACATATATCACAAGACGGTCAGAGGACTTTTTTTTGCAATCTGGAGGCTGTCTGGTCATAACGAAAGATCACCGCGCTACAGGTTCTACTCAGCATGGAATCTCTTGATGTCACGGTCGGCCAACGCCGTTTTCGTGATTCATTTGACCGACTGGCGCTGCTCGGTTCGAGCTGCAGGTTTGAGAAGAAGCGGAGCCGCCTGTCCAGGGGCGGTGACGTTGCTCATCATGAATATGCCACTATGAAGCAATTCGGAGGGGTTGGCTCTGTGGCTGTGGCACGTTTTGTTTGGAAGGGAGGAAGCGGATAGGATCACGAGGTTTTCTTCCTGTCATTCTACTCCTTCTCCTGATGAGGT